GAAAAGGTTTCAACCCCCCCCCCCCCCACAGCGGTGCTAGTGCCAGGATTCGTCCGGGGCAGTCAGCCTTCAAGAGATGCTCGGCAGAGTTGGGCCGTCACTTCAGGGTTTGTTGCTGGTTGGCCAAGCGCCTTGCCGTTTTACACGGTTTGCTGACATGTCTAGGAGAATGGCTGCATTGCCACTGCACCGAAAGCTCAGGCTTCAGAATTGCATGAACGCTGCTGTCAGGGCCGTCGCAACCGCTGCTGGGGCACTGGAGCCAGTCGTAGAAGGTGCCTGGTGTAGAGAGCCGGAAGCGAACATGCTGCAGATGACCGGTCAACGCGTTACAGGCACAATGCATCATGTTAAGGGGTTTAGCGGGGATGGGAGGCCCGGCGGCGAACGCCTACGAAGCCTTGGTCCAGATCAACGCGGCGCTGCGAAGCAACACCCAGCTGATCATGGGCATGCGGGTAACGGACGCCCGGAGCTTCTTTAAGGCAATGGACAAAGACGACAGCGGCAGCCTGGATAAGACGGAAGTGGCCCGGGGCTTGAAGAGGCTCGGCATTGAGGCGAGTTCAGATCTCTTAGATCAGATCGTGGCAGCCATCGATGTAAACAACGATGGCGTCCTTGATATGAAAGAGCTGGTCCGAGCATTGAAGGACCCATGGCAGTGAACCTCTCGTCATACCACAGCTGTACGGCGAACTTGCATGTGTGCACACCAGTCATACAGCTTGTGCCCATGCTCACCGAGCGAACTCCCCGCTGCAGGACCCTCGAGAGGCGGCCCCGCCGACGGCAAGCGACGGATCAGGCGGCCCTGGCCCAGACAGTCCCGGCGGTGATGATGTCGAAGCCACTGAGCCACCTGCGGCGGCAAGATCCCTGAGCCCACTGCGCGAGGCCCGTGATGCTGCTGCGCCCCTTGTGACTCGGCCCTCTGGTTTTTTGGAAGATTCCTTGATACAAAAATCCCGTGACATGCATAGGAAGGGGGCCAAGGGGAGAGCACAACCCAGGAAACCTCGGAGCCCACGGAAGCTGCAGAGGAGGCCCCAGGCCCTGCTCCGGAAAGTCCCGATGCCGTGATGATGGCGGCACCGGCGGTAGACTCAGTGCCAAGCCAAAGTGACTCGAAGGAATCCGCTCAGGAGCCCGGGCGTCCCAAATCCGACATCGCGAAAAATCCTGCGAGATACGGTAGAGGACCTTATAAGTTATGCGTTTTGAAGGAGATAAAGTAAAGAGCCCGTTCGCGGGCGGGCTCCTCTTCCGTTGAAGCCGACCAGGATGAATCAGCTAAGCAAGCTGTTGAGTTCCAAGGCTTGCCTTGAACCTTAGTCAGTCTATGTCAACGTGGTGCATCTGGCTAGGATTTCGGAAGGATGGATATTGCTCGTCCAGAACAAAGCTCAGCCTCAGGGCGACGCTGGGTCGAAGCTCGTCCCTCCATGCCACGAACCCATGAAGGAGCCAGCTTCGTCCTCAAGCATCATGCCCGATGCCGCTGCCGAGGCCTCAAAGCAATGCAAGGGGCTCCCATCTCGCTTCATTCATCCCACCTCGACGCTACTCGTCCCTGAGTACTTGCACCTAACACAGCCAGCATGAGGAAACCATGCCTCCCACTCCCAATGGGACCCTTGCTTGCGCAGTGTCTTTTAGGAGTATTCTCTATGGCAGAGTCGTATGCAGGTTTCCGCCAGTCTGGGACCCCCAGACATTGTTTAACGACCTCTCTGCAACGATTTTCTTTACCAACGATGTTTCTGATACGAGACACCCCAAGCCCGTGCGCCAGGCAGAGACGGTGCAACCTACCAGCCAGGCTTCCAGTCCCGCAAGTCCTTCCAGGAAGTCGCGTGTCACCGTGCCCCGAATGAGTTTAGTGGTTAGGGAGGCTTCTTTTGAGGCAATCTGGGATGTGCGATTTAGGACGCTGCATTTGGGCACCACCTCGTGCGGCAAAATCAGATAGTTCCGGCTTTGATCCTCCCCTACTCGTTACACCTTCCAGGCCGCAAGTCCAACATTCGCACTCAGCTCGGAGCTCCCCAATGAAGGGAACGAACCCAGAGCATCCTGAAGGCAATGCCTCTTTACCACGACCTATGAGTCGGTTTAGGGTTAACGGAGAAAGCCTCAACCCTGGCCTCCATCTCGGCACTTCAAGTTACGAGAACGGTTTTGTCTCTGTTCCATACAAACCTGACCACAGGTGCAGGGCAACGACCGCAACGAGCGCAAGAGCGTCGCATCGAGGACCACGGCGTGGGGTTCGGAGCACGTCCGAAGAGCGCCAGGTTGATGGCCAGTGAATGCTGAGATGCGTGTCGGGCCTGGGAAGGACTGGCGCGAGGCCTTCCCTGAGCCCGACGCAGCTGGGCTCTCGATGTGGAGAATCGCTACAGTAAGGGATGCGGTGAAAAGATCGAATAAGAGTCCCTTTAACTCGCATCCCTGTGAACTGCGAGCTCGCCACAGTCAGCTTCACAAGGCTGCAAAGAACCCCGAAATTCCCTGTATTCCAAGGAAGAGAGCTTCAAGGGCTGCACCGAGCAGTATGACATCTACACCGCCACGCTAGCTCCCCGGGGGGGGGGGGGGGGGGGGG